GGCATTCTTGAAAACGACATATCATTAAAGATGTGAAACATTTTCTAATAGGACTCAGGAAAATGCTAATTTTTTTTGCAAACTCTGATTCAATATTTTTTTCAATAGAAACTCATCATTTGAGTTCAATATCAATGTACATAAGTTTTGATTTGGGACCCATGCTCTCTAACAGAGATTCAGAATACTGGAAAATCCTGGTTACACTACTAGTGTTACTATCTGGTTCGTTTTTAATAAGTTCTCTATCATCGCTTTCTTTCTTTTTCATTTCAAAGTTTCTAAAAATTAAGAAAAATTTTAAAAAATAAACTTTCAGCCATTGTCGATCAATTCATTGAATCATATCTCTATATGTGTGCAAAAACAAAAAAAGATGTGACAGACCCTTTTCAAATTTATACATTTTTATATCTGATCATTTCACCTGATAGTCCTCCTATTAATAGTGAACATATATACGAGTTTTTCATTAAATTGCTATTGGTAAACAACGGCTACTATAACTATTCGAACATGTGAGATAAAAATAATCAAAATAAGAAAAGTATCATAGATGCATAAAAAGAGTTCTCACGACTATTTACTAATAGCTATCACCTTTTAAAATAGGATTATTGCTAATTGGTCATTGCCACTCTATGATCATATTCATATAATGCATAGTAAATTCTTTTTTATTGCATAGAGATAAAAAAAAAAGCATTATTTAAGAACAAAAGATTCTATATATTTATTTAGGAAGCAATTATACCTTATATTGTTTCGAACACTCGTTTATCTGTATTAATTCAATTAAGTAAAAAAGAACAAATTCGATATGCTGAACGAAAAGATTTAAATAATAAACTTAAAATTATTCTTGAACAATGGAATAATTCAAAACAAATAAAAACTATTAATAATATTTCAACTACATATTCATTTATTTCACATGATTCAATACCAAATTTTGAAACATTATCATTATCACAAGCTGAAATTGAATGTTTACAACCTAAATGGCCAGATTTATATGAAGATTATTTAGAAATAGTTATACAATTTGGTTATATTATATTTTTATCAACATTATTTCCACTTGCAGCATTTTTTTCTTTATTAAGTAATATAATTGAAATTCGTGCTGATGCATTTAAATTATGTATGATATGTCAACGACCTTTTTCACAACGTGTTAAAGATATTGGTCATTGGCAGGTAAAGAAAAATTTAGAAAAAAAAGCAAAACAAAACGAATACAATATTTTATTGTTTTTTTGTTTTAAGAAAATTATGGAATATATGGTCATTGCAGCAATTATTGTTAATTGTATTTTTTGTTCAATACGTGGTGTTTTTAGACGTATGTTACCTGATCTTCCATTTGCTGCAGAAATTTTTCTACTTGTTTGTATTGAAGTTTGTATTTCATTTAAATTTTAATTTGAAATACACAAAAAAAAA